TATTCCTCCCACTGATACCAATGATGGGACACTATTCCTCCCACTGATACCAACGATGGACACTACTATCCTCCCACTGACATCAGTGATGGGTGCGCTAGTCCTCCCACTGATACCAATGATGGGGCACTATTCCTCCCACTGACACCAATGATGGGGCGCTAGTCCTCCCACTGATACCAATGATGGGGCACTATTCCTCCCACTGCAAAATTACAGTTCTGAAGTAGCAACGAAAATAATTTTATGGTTGGGGGTCACCACAACATGAGGAACTGTATTAAGGGGTCGCGGCGTTAGAAAGGTTGAGAACCACTGCCCTAAAGTCTCTGTGGCCCTAACTCTGTCCCTTAATACACACAGGTCTGTCTCTCTTGAATGACCGGAGGCTAATGGAGAATTCTAAGATGGCCGCGATTTATAGTGCTGGCTGGCTGCTGATTGGCTAATGCGATCACATGTCATGAATGCATTATGGGTGAGCGCGCCTTGTCTGCGCGCCTTCCCAGAGATCCCCGCCCCATCTTCTCTGTCCATTTTCTCCGTGGCCACACATGTCGCCACCATTTTTGGGAAAATTCGATCCGTGCATCCGAAGTTTGCTAATCTTCGGATTCGTCGCGAATAGAATTTTTCCAAATCTTCGGAACGAATTCCACTTCGTCATGTTCGATTCGCTCATCTCTAATTGGAATGTTAGCGCTTATTCACACCAGTGGGTGTATGATGGTCCGCATAAGGCTCGCATGCTGATGTGCATTGTGTAAGGATGGTGTTGTGAAAATGATTTGCTGTGTTTGCTTCTTTTGTTTTTTTGTTTTTAATTTCATAAAATGCCATTTTTTTTTCAACTCTATGCACAACAGGCATGCTGCATTTTTTTACACAATGCACATATAAACAGAGCACACAGAGACCAATTGTTTTCTATGTGTTCTTGTGATCTTCTGTGATCAACACAGCTCAATACAACTGGTGTGAATTAGTTGAACTGCTGGGCAAATAAAAAATGACACACTGTACACTATAGTGCCAAAAGTATTGGGATATTTGCCTTTACACGCACATGAACTAAAGTTGGCATCCCAGTCTTAGTCCATAGGGTTCAGTATTGAGTTGGCTCACCCTTTGCAACTATAACAGCTTCAACTCTTCTGGGAAGGCTGTCCACAAGGTTTAGGAGTGTGTCTATGGGAATGTTTGACCATTCTTCTAGAAGCACATTTGTGAGGTCAGGCACTAATATCGGATGAGAAGACCTGGCTCGCAGTCTGCGCTCTAATTCATACCAAAGGTGTTCTGTCGGTTGAGGTTAGGACTCTGTGCAGGCCAGTCAAGTTCCTCCATCCCAAACATGCTCATGTATGTCTTAATGGACCCTGCTTTGTGCACTGGTGCTCAGTCATGTTGGAACAGGAAGGGGCCATCCCCAAACTGTTCCCACAAAGTTGGGAGCATGAAATTGTCCAAAATGTCTTGGTATGATGACGCCTTAAGACAGGGGGTGTCCAAACATTTTTGGAAGAGTGCCAGATTTGATGAAGTGAACATGTGCGAGGGCCGACCATTTTGCCCGACATTCTGATGAACCATTAAAATTAAATGCAAATGAACTATTTTATGCAAAGGTTTATTTAAAACGGCATACTTTTCATTTTGTGACTTGGATGACAAATCTAAACAGGTGTTAAATCACTCTGCCTTTAATCTAAAAAAAACAGGAAGCTGAAATATGTCAGGAACATTAGAAAGTACATTACACAAAGTATGAAGGTTGTCTGTCAACTTTTAAGTTCAAAAAATGTGAACAGGAACATAACACCAAGTATACATGTGTTCAAATATATTTAGAACTGATTTAGACCAACTGACATTAACTGAGATTTTACAATGTATTCCTCTCAATTGAAAAAAAAACTTGCCTGCACTAATGTGAAGGGTGAAACTGAGATCTGGACTGCAGCACATAGACTAGGTCTGGTTCAAAGGCCGTGGTTTTGATGCGCAAAATGTCACGCAGGTGAGAGTCACTTAGTCTTGTCCTCACACGGTTCTTGTTAAAGTTCATAACAGAGAATGTCTTCTCACACAAATATGTTGAGCCAAACAAGCTCAACATTTTCTTAGCCAATGTTCGAATCTCTTGAAACTGGCTCTTATCCAGTTGGCGGTAAAAAGTTCACAAGAGAGAGCTGTTGGTGACGACTGCGTAACTCGCTGTCACAATGCAGCTCAATGAGCTCGAGCTGCAGCTGATCTGGAGCATTGTCGGGGTCAACAGAGAATTGAGAGGAGAAAATGCTGATCTCCTTTTCAATAGCTGCAAAATCTTGAAAGCGCCGTTTAAACTCCCCAGCCAGAGATGCGATGTCCGCTGCATACCTGCTCGTTTGTGCACTGATATCATCCTGTGGAAAACTGTTCATTATTTCCTGCAAAGCTGAAAAGTGAACAGTATTGGGCTGCGTTTGTGACAAATGCCTTAGGAAAAGTTGCAGCTTTGTTCCAAAGGCTTTGAGGTGTGAATAAAGCTGGTTCACCCTGAAGACTCGTGTTCAGTACATTCAGATGCTTTGTTATGTCGACTAGAAACCCCAAATCAGCCAGCCAAATAGGATCAGATAGTTCTCGCATTGGTTGTCCCTTTGTTTCCAAGAATTCTCCAATTTCCTTTCTGAGAGAGTAGAAACGCTGCAGTGCAGAACCCCGACTGAGCCATCTTACATCATTATGATATAAAAACATCTTCGTATTCAGCCTGGAAATCCAGTAAAAACAGTTTAAACTGGCGGTGGCACAGGGCTTTAGAGCGGATGCAATTAATGGTCTTTAGCACCGCTTTCATAACATGATCATATTTGAGATGTTTAGCACAGAGAACTTGTTGATGAATGATACAATGAAGTTTGATAGCGTTGCCTCCTTCTTCAATCACCTTGTTACAGATTAGGGTTGATAATCCACTTCGTTCACCAGTCATGGCAGGTGCCCCATCAGTAATAATCCCAGTAACCTTGTTCCAAGGCAGTTTCATGTTATCTATGGCAGAACTAACAGAGACAAATAAATCTTTTCCTCTTGTTTGGTCCTTAAGGCTCTGGAGGTCAAGCAGCTCCTCAGTCACATTCATTTCATGGTCCACCCCTCTCAGAAAAATCAGCAACTGAGCTGTGTCAGAGAGGTCCGTGCTTTCATCACAGGCTATTGAAAAGAAGTCAAAATCAACTCCTTTTGACGTTAACTGTCTCTTAATATCTGATGAAATTTCTTCAATTCTCCTTGCTACAGTGTTACGAGCCAGGCAAATGTTGGCAAACTCTTGCTTCTTCTCGGGACAGATATTCTGCACCATTTTCATGACACATTTTTTGATAAACTCACCCACAGCAAAAGATTTGCAATTTTTAGCAATTAACGCTGCCACCTCATAGCTAGCCTTTGTGGCATTTTCATTTGATTCACGGGCTCTTGTAAAAAATCGCTGTTATGACATTAAAACAGCTTCAAGTTGCTTCAACTTTTCACTGCGGTCGCGCCCTGTTAGCTTGTCGTATGTGCTATGTCTCGACTGGTAGTGTCTCTTGATATTAAATTCCTTATAAACAGCCACAGTCTCTTGGCATATCAGACAAACACAGTGATTCCGTATTTCAGTGAAAAAATATTCCACTTTCCACCTGTCCTGGAAGCTGCGGCCCTCACTGTCAACTTTTACGTTTCTTATTTGTAGTTGCCATTATAAAAATTGGCCAGAAGGGGAGAAGTTATGTAGAGACTACGAGGAGCAGAGGGTGGAACAGCAAAGATAGGATACTGTAACACAGGCAGACAATAGCAGGCTGTGCAATAGTAACAAATCAGATAATCATGGCATTATAGCACAGTGATGGACAGTCAGGGTTTAATGAAGGGTATTACAGCTTGCTACCAGATTCCTATATGCTCCCTTGTCTGCTTTAATGTATCCTGAGCACAGCCCGGCCTGCCTGTCAGTGTGTTGTCTGTGTTTTTTTTACTTTCAATATTCTGCCTTAATGGTGGCCCTTGTGGCTTTGTGTGGAGGCTCAGCACTCTCTTGACATCATCAGCCAGCACAGGGAGAAGGAAAGCCCAAATCTCGCGAGATCTCGGAGGTCGCGAGATTTGGGCTTTGTTTCTCCTTGCACTGTCCCTCGGCCCACGTTCCGGACCCCACAGATGAGCTGCCCAATATATAACTTATGGCCCTCCACTAGTGATTCTGCGAACGCCACTGAGGACTCCAGGGATCTGTCGAGCGGGAATTGACATCATCAGCCGGCACACAGAGAAGGAAAGCCCAAATCTCACGAAATCTCGGACGTCGCGAGATTTGGGCTCTCCTTCCTGCGCCAGCTGATGATGTCAAGTGCCGCAGCTAGAGATCGCTGGAGTCCTCAGTAGCTTTCAGGGAATCACTACCGGGGGCCATAAGTTATATATTTGGGTAGCTCACCTGTGGGGCCGTTTCAGTCCGGAACGCGGGCCACAATTGGCCCGAGGGCCGGACTTTGGACATGCCTGCCTTAAGAGTTCCCTTCATTGGAACTAAGGGGCCAAGCCCAACCCCTGAAAAACAACCCCACACCATAATCCCCCCTCCACCAAACTTTACACTTGGCAGAATGCAGTCAGGCAAGTACTGTTCTCCTGGCAACCACCAAACCCAGACACGTCCATCGGATTGCCAGACAAAGAAGCGGTCCAGAGAACTCGTCTCCATGATCTAGAGCCCAGTGGTGGCGAGCTTTACACCACAGCATCTGAATCTTTACATTGCACTTAGTGATGTAAGGCTTAGATGCAGCTGCTCGGCCATGGAAACCCATTCCATGAAGCTCTCTACGCACTGTTGTTCTGCTAATCTGAAGGCCACACAAAGTTTGGAGGTATTTAGCTATTGAGAGACAGTTGGCGACTTCTGAGCTCTGTACACTTGAGCATGCGCTGACCCCGCTCTGTCGTGTTATGTGGCCTATCACTTCATGCCTCTTGTTCCCAGTTGCTTCCACTTTGTTATTATACCTATATACAATAGAGGAGATTGGACTTTCAGGGTGCATGAACATGAATACCAAACATTAAAAAGTTATATCATTTTTATTTGTATTATTGTAACAAAACACAAGAAAGGAAAAAATACAGAAACATAAAAACAATTTCAGTTCTAAGAATACAACTGAGATTGAAACTTGGTTAGGTAATTGTAGTTACTCCCTACATGTTTTGCCCTCACGGGCTTCTTCAGGGGAGATTTTTTTAGGAAATTTCTACCGCCAAGTTAGTCATGGATGTGAAAGCTCACGGAGCTAGGAGAAAATGACCTAAAAAATCTTAATTGGCCTACATGTCCAAAACAGTTGTAGAGGATATAATGGGCATCAAATATCATCTGTTAAATGCTTTAGAAGGATATATAGGTATAACCTAACAAAGATCTATTTGACCTATACGTTCACAACCATAGGAGAGGAAACAATGGACATCAAACATCCATCTGTTGAAAAATTGCAGAGAAATATAAAAGTATATTCTGTCTTAAGGTCTAATTAGCCTATAATGTCCAGAAAAGATTGAAGAATATAATGGGCATCAAATATCCATCTAAGCACAACAGGATAAGGTTGGAAAATATAATGAGCATTCAGATACCGATCTGTTAAATATTGCAATTCAAGTAGCATGGAAAATGTGGGGAAAAAGGATTTTAATTGAAGATCAATTTCCAATTCCACTACTAGATGTCAGCAAAGGACTTCAGTCCAGACGATATTGGCTTTGTTCAGATCCAAAACATTCTCCAAGATACTCAGTATGCACTGGTGATTAGCAGAAAGACTTTATTATACCACTAACAGTTGACCGTGGAATATTTAGTAGCAAGGAAAGTTTCACGGATGGACTTATTGCACAGGTGGCAACCTATCACAGTACCACGCTTGAATTCACTGAGCTCCTGAGAGCGACCCATTCTCCCACAAATGTTTGCAGAAGCAATCTGCATGCCTAGGTGCTTGATTTTTATACCCATGGAGGTGATTGGAACACCTGAATCCAATGATTGGGAGGGGTGTCCCAATACTTTTGGCGATATAGTGTATATGATGCAGTCTGTTATTATATTAACACAGCAGTGTTTGTTGTTTATAGTTCCCAACTGTAATATACCTTTTTTCCTTTTGATCCTGCCAGAAAGTTTGCTATTTTTCAACTTCCATTAAAGCCCAACTGAATTTTATGTTGAAATCAACTAAATACATTCCAGGTGCATAAAAAAAGTGTGCAAAGTCTTACCGTTTGTTTTCTATAGCAAGCAGTCACAGCTTAAAGTGGAACTTTAGGTAAATATTAAAAATGGGTGGACAGGCAGGATTTTTAATACAGAACTGACATGCTTTGTTTCTTCTGCATTAAAGCTACCTACCTGCCCGTCCACCCCTGTGCAGTGAGCTGCGCAGGTGCAGCTCACTGTACAAATTCAGCAATGCCGAATTTGACAGCCCTGCTTGGCTAATGACAATGGCCAGCGTTCGAGACCCAGCAGCTGGTCCGCTCGAAGGTGTCAGCGGCCAGGCGGGGAGCCCCGGGACAGCACATTGTGGGATTGGATAGTATATTTCCGCTTTAAGTAGAAAAGACTGTCTCCTGTAGGCATGAGAAGAGAAGGACCTTTGCTCACTGTATGAAAGCAGTGTTCTCTCTGTAGAGGTCCAACGTGTTTCTTGCTGAGTCAGAGTTAGAGCTCTCCAATCAACAGGAAGCATGAGATATCCAGATTATATAGAGCTATAGTTTTGGCTCAGCAGAGGGCGTCTGACCTCTGCAGAGAAACCACTGCTTCCAAACAGAAAGAGAGGGTCCTTCTCTGCAGCATGGTTACAAGTACAAATAAAGAGGGTGAATTCCCCAAACCCCTCCTTCCCCCATGCAATAAAAAACTGACAGAGATTCTAACTCTTACCCATTGCATCCAAAACAAAAATGCATTTACATATACTTTAATGTACAAAATAATTGGTGACAGGTATAACAATGTAGCCACCAGTGGTGCTAACTGAAAAAGTCCTTAAAGTGATACTAAAGGTTCATTTTTTTTTCTGTAAAATAACAAACATGTCTAACTTGCTTGCTCTGTGTAATAGCTTTGCAGAGAGCAGCCTGAATCCTTCTCTTCTCGGGTCCCGCACAGGCTCTCCTGGCTCATCCTTTTAGTCAGGTGCCCCCACGGCAAACAGCTTGCTATGAGAGCACCCGCTGCTCTGTTTGTCCATTCACACATGGAGCTGCGGCTTAGCCCCGCCCCATCTCTCTCCTCATTGGCACCAGCAAAGGACCATTAGGATATGTATATAGACAATTTTCTGGTTTTTCATGGTTCTACATGGCAACATGCAGATGATACATAACTAGTTGCCAGGGAAGGTTATGCAGAATTATTTATTAATAAAAGAAACTGAAGATATTAGAGGATGCCTCCTTAACTCTACAATTGTCATAACACCCAGGTAAATTCTGTAGTACCCGAGAAGGGTGTGAAATGATGACCACCCCCTCCCTCCTAGATTGTAAGCTCGAAAGAGTAGGGCCCTCTACCCCTCGTGTGCTGTTTGTAGTTGCTGTAATGTTTCATGTATTGTCCCCCCCTCTATTGTACAGCGCTGAGCAAACCCTTTGGCGCTATATAAACCCGATGTAATAATAATAATAATGACCAGCTTTTTGCTCTGGAGATTGTCTCAAGGAAATTGACCTCGTGGAAGAAGCCCTCACCACTAATGGAGGATCCTTTCTGAATGCCCTGTACTCTTTGTGGATGAGCTTGACAATCCATGAACATAAGGTTCTTGGTTTGGCTTTGTTTCCTCTGTATTTGATGAAATGTCAGGAATCTTACAACATCTAGTTTGTACCTAGTGTATGTGAATTTTTGGGCTCAAAAGGAAAAGCTGGTAATACCCTTTCATATGATAGGTGATATAAAGATGCCACCTTGAGAATAAATTGCTGTATGGATCTCAGCACCACCCTGTCAAAGAAGAATGTAATGTATATTTTGGTGGCCTCCAGCAGTGAAAGTTCTTAAGCTCATCCTCCCTAGGTGATTGCAGCTAGAAAGATGGCTTTAGGTTGTGATGTTCCATAATGAACAGTTTTATGTAGGAGTGAAAGAATATTGCAAAAGCATGTCCAGACCATGGTTAAATCCTATTGAGGGAGCACTAATTTTTTGGAACCCCATCATGAATTTCTTGACAATTACAGGTTAATTCACCCATGTTTTCTTTGTGACTGCTGAAATGGATGGAATCTGAACCTTAAGAGAGCTAAGGCTCAGACTCAGGTCTAGACCAAACTGTAAAAAGTCATGGGATCAAAGCTATGAACTGTAGCAAACATTACAAATCTATCCCATATTCAAGAGTAAATATTGTTTGTTAATGGCTTGCGAGATTTCAACAAGATTGATATAATTGTAGAGGCACATTCTTGTTGTTCCAGCCTCTGCATTTTAACCTCCAGGCTCAAATGGACAAGTCGCTCTGACTTTGTATGAAGGCATTCCACTTGAGACAGAAGCTGTGAGAAAACTGGAAGAGGTATCGGAGGACATACCCTAATGACCAGAGGAAACCATTGCCTTCGGGGCCAATAAGGTAGAATGACAATCACTGCCAGGTACTTTGAGAGCAGCTTAACTAGAAACCTCATTATAAGGGGAAGAAATTAAAAGGTGTATGCCAGATTGCAATTCCATGCCAGGGGGGTGAGGAAGACGGGATAAGAATCTGGTAAGTTTCTGACTGCTGGCCTCTGCAAAAAAATCCAGTTGAGAGAGACCCCACAAGTGTGTGATTTGGTTGAAGACATAAGGGTGTAGAGTCTACTCGCTGTCATCCTTAAAGTTCCTGAAAAGGTATTCTTGTTGCCCAGGAGACAGGTCACTTTGACTTCTAGAAGGTGCTAATGTGACCAGAGCAATTACAGCTGCTCTCATTTCCAGGATATTTGACATTACTTCCTCTCTCGGGAAGTCCCACCTTCCCTGTCATCTCTTCTATATTGTGTGAGGAGCCCCCTCTGAAACTGCCTGAGCTATCAGTGTGCCCAGGGTATCACTGGAATAAAGGCTGACATGGTCCCTAAGAAGCTCATGCATTGTGGGACTGTCATTGAAGAAGATGCTAACACCCTTGGGATCTTCTCCCTAATTGCCAGAGCTTTCTCTGACCCTAGGTTCACACCTAAGCATTTTCTGCAGCGTTTTTCAGAAATGCACTACAGTCCATTTAACATAATTTTCTATGGGACATGTTCACATCTCCGTGTTTTCACCTGGTGTGTTTTTTGGAAAGTATGGGACTTTTTTAAATGCAAAAGGTTGCATTTTTGGTTCTATAGACTTTAATGGAAACGCTGCAGAAAAGCATCTGGTGCATTTTTGACGTATTTTGATGCATTTTGCATTTTAGTTTACCTAGCAACAATAGGAAAAAACCGTGCCAAAAAACACATAGGTGTGAATGTAGCCTGAAGGAATAGATACGATATCAATTGATATCTATATCAATTGCTGCAATGGATTGATGTGGTTCTTTTTGAAATTGATCAACCATCATCTCATTCTGCAATCTTCATGTAGCACACCCTTGGGTGATGCTTGGCTAGAAATATAGGTTCAACTCCCACCTGAATCTGGTGACACCTCCGATTATACCCAGAACACTCCGACACTCTGAGAATATTTTTTATGGGTTTTATTGAAGAAGACAAACCCTGAAAAAGAACTAGCTGATTTAACACAGGTAATGTACATAAAACACAGATACCACTTTGTATAACATAGTTAGTAAGAAATCACAATTCACTCGCCAAAGACTCAAAAAAACTGACTAGTATCACACTGACTAGGGTGACATATGAGAGTGATATTGACACATGAAACAATAACTGTTAATGAGGTTTAGCAGCTTATTGACATTTGCTATAGCAGTACTATCTAGAGCAGAAATGTCCTACCTAACCACTGGCCAGTCGGATGAAACTTAAAGTCTCTCAACGTTGGGGCCTTTTAATCAATGGAAGAGCGCTCACTCTCTGCATGGGAGAGTATTTGTAATCCAGGGGTAGCAGGATAGAACAATCTCCTTTAAGCAGAATCTTCCAGTGAACATTGCAATAGAAGAAAACAACACTTTAACAAATCTTTACCATACAGGTGAAATCCTGATATACTGACACTTGCTCAGTATATTCAGAGCAGCAAGCTTCTGTGGGGACTTGGAACTAAACACACTCTTCAGCCACAGCACAAGTCTTGAGGAGACAAACCAGTAATATACAGAGACAGAGATCTCTCACCAATCAGCAGCAGGAATAGCTAATTCTGAGCAGCTTGGGCTTTCCAAGATCTGTTTCACTCTGAGAATTAGAGAGCAGGTGTTCTCATGACCATTCTCCAGAGATGAACAGCAAGTGCAGCAATATCAAAATCCCCTTTCATCACAGAATACTCACTCTTTCTGGATTGTCCTCTAGATAGCATTAGACAGCAGTAGAAATCCTCTCTCTTTCAGCAGCTCCAGACTTTGAGAGACACATGCACTTGAGTGGCTGTAATCCTGAGTGTCAGGCAGGACAATCCTTGATTTGCACACTGTCCTCCTGCAACAATTCCTCTGCTACGCACTCCCAGCCCAGCCCATGGGCTCTAGCAGCACAGAGAGTGAGACTCTATGACTTTATACCAGGAGCCCTTGCTCCATGCGGTCCCCTGAAAATGTCTGCCTCCCCACATGTGCTTCTTCTTCCTTTTTCCTCCCTCCTTTTCCTCCACAGCCAATCATAAGTTCAGCTGCAACAGTGCTGCTATGGGTGGATCCTTCTCAGCTGTAGCAACCACCAATCAGAGCACAGTCCTGCTTTTCCTGTCTGTCACTCACAACGAGGGAAAAGAAAAAAAATGCTTTGCAACTGCTGTTTAAGATTTAAAGTAACCAGCACATCTCTACATTCATGACAGTCCTGTTGGAATGAAAGTGGTCAGGGCTGTGAAGAGAGAACATCTGCCTTGGAAGCATTTTTTTTTTAACCTGATTGGTCACTAACAGACAGTGGAGGGTGTTGTGGTTAGAGGCTCATGGTAAGAAAAGCATTCGAGAATTGCTACAATGCAAGAGAAGGAGCAGCAAAAAGGGCAAAGTTATAAACTAATCTGCACAGTTATTCCAGGTGAAGACATATCAGACATGTACATGTGTAGCACTACCCCCTTAGGAGTTGCTGGATTATTTTTGTGCTCCCTGTTGCTCTGGACCCCTCTCTGAAAGGCCAACCCTGCTGACACCACAGTACACTCTTAACCGGAATAAATCACCACCAGAAAGCAAACCCACACAGTCATTGGAGTAAACTGGTAAGAGGTTTCTAGCAGACTTCATTGTAGCTTGGTCACTGTCACGGCTATGGCAGGTAGCTCTCTAGACCCACAGCTAGGGTTTCCCAGGGCGCGGGGTCTAAGCCCCAGTCTGCTTGTTCACCAGAGCCCCTGATGGTGGGGATGGACTTGGAGCAGGCAGGGACCAGGTCGCGGCCCCCGGTACACCCAGCTGAGGTAGAGGAGACTGCTAGCGGTAGCAGGATACAGGGTGATTATTACGTACCGAATTGGGGAGTCTGAAATGGAGAGAAGACGTCCAATGGAGAGAAGGCGTCCTCTTACGACTCCCGCTCGGAGACCCTAAAGTTGGGAACAAGGGTGCAGAGCCAGGAGTGCCGTGAGGATCTTGCAGCTGTCAGTAGGTAGTTGGGAACTCAGGAGATCCGGACACAAGCCAGGTGCGGGTGCAGAAACGTAGGGTGCAGCAGCAGGCCGGTGTGGCGGTAGTTTTGATGTGGAACCATGAGTGCAGCGGTAGGTATGCAAGACGCAAGCCAGTTGCGGTTGCAGACAGGGTCATACAGCAGAGTCAGGCAGGCTGGGTCGGTAACAAGCGGGCAGAAAGTACAAGAACAGGCAGGAGAATGGTCAGGAATAGCCGGGGTCGGTGCAGGCGGAGTTCTTTCTTAGGCGATTATACAGGAAAGCAGGTATCAGGATCAGAATCAGGAATTTGAGCACAGGAACATATTTAGACCAGAGGGCAATGATTCTTCCTTGCAGCAGGTTTAAATAGCCTGCTGGCCGTGACATGGGTGCTTACTGCGCATGTGTGAGCTTCCTGCGCTACGCATCGCGCGGCATGCTCTCGCACCTGTGCACTCGCTTCGCCACTACTCGAGGGGATCCGTCGCTGTCGCACCGCTGCACGGCGACAGGATCCCTGACAGTCACACAGCATAAACAACATTGGCATGTGCAGAGTCAGTTGCTACTTGAGTCAGGTTTAAATAAAAAAAAAGAGAACGCATATCATAGAGTCTCAGTTAGTGTTAGCAGGGCTGCTTTTCAGAAACAAACCCGATACCTTCAACCTGAGGTGGCTTTACAGTTCCCAGTGAGCAGTGAGAACTATCAAACAGGTAGACTACCTCACTTCGTGCCCTCAGGACCTGATGGGAGGTAGCCTGAAATAAGAAAAGAGCTTTTACCCCAAAACAACAATGTTCTCTTAACCACTTACCCTCTTGAGGATTTACCCCCCTACCTGATCAGGCCATTTTTTGCGTTATGGTGCTGCGTTACTTTAACTGACAATTGCGCGGTCATGCAACACTACACCCAGATTAAATTATGTCATTTTTTCCAAGAATTGAGCTTTGTTTCAGTGGTATTTAATCGCCTGTGCGTTTTTTATTTTTTCGTGCTATGATAAAAAAAGACTGATAATTTTGAGAGAAAAAAAAACTATATTTTTGACTTTTTGCTATTAAACATGTCCAGTAAAAAAATGTAAAAAATCTAATTTCGTCATAAATTTAGGCCAAAATGTATTCTGCAACATGTCTTTGCAAAAAAAAATTCCAAAACGTGTAAATTAATTTTTTTTTCGTGAAAGTTATAGAGTTTACAAATGGCAGTATAGATACTGGGATTTTTTTTTCCTACTAGTAATGGCGGCAATCAGCGTCTTTTAGCGGGACTGCAGTGGACATTCTGACACTGGGGGGGAACTTACTTGGTACAATACAATGATCAGTGCTAAAAAAAAAAAAAAAAAGCACTGATACTGTACTAATGACACTGGGCAGGAAGGGGTTAAAATGTATGGCTCAAATTGCACTGCTCAGAAATTGCATGTGATTTGCACAGGACCAGGGGCGGACTGACAACTCATGGGGCCCCCGGGCAATAGGGGATCATGGAACCCCTGTGTCCTTGTCCAAACTCAAAAAAGCCTATGAAAAAGGTACCAGGGGCATCTCATGGGGCCCCCTACTGACCTTGGGCCCTCGGGCAGTGCCCGAGTTTCCAAATGGTCAGTCCACCCCTGCACAGGACTTTGGTGCGGTTCCTATTAGAATCACATGCGATGTGCCGCACCGCATCAGTGTGAACCTGGGCTTAAGGATGAATTCCAGGTATGCTGTATTTTTACTTGGTAACATTGGTCCAGCTTGGAACGATGGAACTACAACCCCATGTCCAAAAAAAGTCGAGACACTGTGTAGAATCTACACAATTTGCAACTCTCTCATAAGCCCAAATTTTATTCACATTGAAAATAGAATACATATCAAATATTTAAACTGAGAAAATGTACCATTTTAAGAAAAAGAAAAGAAAAAGTAATTTTGAAACTGATGACAGCAACATCAATGAAACTCTTTGGATCTGCAGGTGAAGGTCTGAAGACAAAAAGGAGAATGTTGTTCAGTTACCTTCTTAGACCTCAACACTTTCCTCTTTTGACCTTGCTACTACTGAAGAGGTCACTAAGGTTTTCTCAGAAGCCCGTCTCACTACCTGCCCTCTGGGTCCTGTCCCCTCACAACTACTACGGTCACCCTCTCCTTCCATCCTATGCTCTCTCACTCACATCTTCAATCTCTCCCTCTCTAACGGTGCCTTCCCCTCCCCTCTAAAGCATGCACACAGCACTCCCATACTTAAAAAGCCCTCCCTGGACCCCACCAACCTGAACAACTTAAGACCCATCTCCCTGCTGCCATTTACCTCTAAACTCCTAGAACGCTTAGTATACAATTGCCTGAGCTCCCACCTCACTGACAACAGCCTTCTTGGCCCTTTATAGTCTGGCTTTCGCTCACTACACTCCACTGAAACTGCCCTACTAAAACTCACTAATGATCTACTAACTGCTAAAACCAATGGCCACTGCTCAGTACTCTTACTACTTGACCTCTCCGCGGCTTTTGATACTGTTGACCATCCCCTCCTCCTCACAAATCTCCACTCTCTTGGCCTGATCAAGATGTCACAAATAATGGAAGCAAACCCTGCAATAAAAAAACGCTGCAAATTGTGCAACCAAATCAATCCATCAAAAAGTGTCAGACACTCAAAAGGGATCTTCAATATCTCCGGATCATACAGCTGCACCTCCAGTAATGTTGTGTATCTTATCCAGTGCAGAAAATGCAGCAAAGGATCTTATGTTGGCAAAACAGGACAGAAGTTGCAAACAAGGATGAATTTGCACAGACATACCATCAAGGAACATAAAGAAGATGACCTCTGCACACCTGTGGGACACCATTTCGCACAACCACACCACACAGTGGGAGACCTCAATATTTTAGTTCTTAAAGGAAATTTGAAATCTATTCAGGAAAGAAAAACTTTTGAACTAAGAATGATAATTCTATTTGACACAAGAGATAACGACCTGAATTTGGACATGGGATTCCTCACTCATTATCCAACAGTTTTACGACCCCCTCTGTGAGTGTTGTCCCCCCCCCCCCGTCTTTACTTTTGCTGTGTCTTATCGCTAGTCTAATCCTAGTCTGTTAACCATTGCTGTGTACATCTGTTTGTGTGTTTCTTTCAGTTTTTCTTTCTCTTCAGAGAAGCCTATCCTGCCTTCAGCTAATAATGGAATCTTCTATTCCTCCTACCAGTCCCTCCCCCACAGTTATTACCTTTTGTACCACTAGCCCCTCCCTCTTAGATTGTAAACTCCCAGGATCAGGCCCTCCTACCCCTCTTGTATTGAACTGTATTGTCACTGTATTGTCTCCCGTTATATTGTAAAGCGCTGAGCAAACTGTTGGCGCTATATAAATCCTGTATAATAATAATATGAAGAAGATGTATCTGGTCCTGTAGGTGGGGATAGGGGCGGAGCTCTGTCATCAGCAGGTTGCCATGTAGCCACCAAGGAAAATGTTTTGGCACTTTCACCTCTGAGCTGTCCCATGAACTACTTCTTTCCTAACACTAGATGTCCTCAGCCTCTCTGACTCTATGAGGAGAGGCCAGTAGGGGGCGGGGCAGGTGGAGCGGTTTTCTCTGTGAGTCACGTGGAGGGGCGGAACAGAGGAGAATTAAAGGTTACAGTTCAAGCGGTGACGAAGCAGTCTGTAAGGGGAGGCGGGCTTATTGTCGTGATGTAGTCTGTATGGGGGCGGGGATAAAAGCAATAGCTAAGCAAATCTAGTCAAGCTTGAAGGCCGATTTCAGGGCGGTGAGGTAGAGGGCGGAGTTAAGTACTGTGAGTCTGACAGAGGGCAGGTCTCGAAGCGGTGAGATAGTGGGCGGGTCTCGGAGCGGTGAGATAGGGGCGGGTCCAGGAGCGGTGACGTAGCCCGGCGGTTGTTGACGTGGCCGTCGCAGTTGTCGGTGTGTCGGTGAGGCGGAAGGATGAGCGAGCCCCATAAGCAAGATATTGTCGCTATCTTCAAGAGGCTCCGGTCAGTTCCCATTAATAAGGTGAGTGGTCCGTGGAGATGGTCCTGCCGGGCGCTCCGCTCCCTGGACTGTGCCGGTCCGCATTGGAGAAGTACAGGGCCGGGAGGTGGTGGTGTGACATGTGACACAGGCGGACTCCTGGGGAGGATCACCTGGTTAGTACATTTAGTAGGGTGGGTATAGATGGGCGACTCTGGCAGAGCTGGGGTGAGGGTGACAGCTGGCTGACCCGGTCAGAGCGTGTGGGGGTGACAGCTGGCTGACCCGGTCAGAGCGTGTGGGGGTGACAGCTGGCTGACCCGGTCAGAGAGTGGGGGGGGGGTGACAGCTGGGTGACCCGGTCAGAGCGTGTGGGGGTGACAGCTGGGTGACCCGGTCAGAGGCAGTTGGGTGTGGGGGTGACAGTTGGGTGACCCGGGCAGAGTGTGTGTGGTGGGGACAGTTGGGTGACCCGGGCAGAGAGAGTGTGGGGGGGTGACAGTTGGGTGACCCGGGCAGAGAGTGTGGGGGTGACAGTTGGGTGACCCGGGCAGAGAGTGTGGGGGTGACAGTTGGGTGACCCGGGCAGAGAGTGTGGGGGGTGACAGTTGGGTGACCCGGGCAGAGAGTGTGGGGGGTGACAGTTGGGTGACCCGGGCAGAGAGTTTGGGGGTGACAGTTGGGTGACCCGGGCCGGGCAGAGTGTGTGTGGGGGACAGTTGGGTGACCCGGGCAGAGCGTGTGTGTGGGGGACAGTTGGGTGACCCGGGCAGAGTGTGGGGGGGGGACAGGCAGAGTGTGTGGGGGGGACAGTTGGGTGACCCCGGGCAGAGTGTGTGTGTGGTGGTTGGGTGTGTGGGGGGTGACAGTTGAGTGACCCGGGCAGAGCGTGTGGGGGGACAGTTGGGTGACCTGGGCAGAGTGTGTGGTGGACAGTGGGTAAACTGGGCAGTTGAGTGTGTGTGTGTGGGAGTGACAGTTGGGTGCCCCAGGGCAGAGTGTGTGTGGTGGTGACAGTTGGGTGCCCCGGGCAGAGTGGGTGTGTGTGGGGGTGACAGTTGGGTGCCCCGGGCAGAGTGTGTGTGGGGGTGACAGTTGGGTGCCCCGGGCAGAGTGTGTGTGGGGGGACAGTTGGGGGGGTGACCCGGGCAGAGTGTGTGTGGGGGCGACAGTTGAGTGACCCGGGCAGAGTGTGTGGGGGCGACAGTTGAGTGACCCGGGCAGAGAGTGTGGGGGGCGACAGTTGAGTGACCCGGGCAGAGTGTGTGGGGGCGACAGTTGAGTGACCCGGGCAGAGTGTGTGGGGGCGACAGTTGAGTGACCCGGGCCCGGGCAGACAGTGTGACCCGGGTGGGGGCGACAGTTGAGTGACCCGGGCAGAGTGTGTGGGGGCGACAGTTGAGTGACCCGGGCAGAGTGTGTGGGGGGCGACAGTTGAGTGACCCGGGCAGAGTGTGTGGGGGTGACAGTTGAGTGACCCCGGGCAGAGCGTGTGTGGGGGACAGTTGGGTGACCCGGGCAGAGAGTGTGTGTGGGGGACAGTTGGGTGACCCGGGCAGAGTGTGTGTGGGGGACAGTTGAGTGACCCGGGCAGAGTGTGTGTGTGTGGGGGTGACAGTTGAGTGACCCGGGCAGAGCGTGTGGGGGGGACAGTTGGGTGACCTGGGCAGAGTGTGTGGTGGACAGCTGGGTGAAACTGGGCAGAGTGTGTGTGTGGGGGTGACAGTTGGGTGACCTGGGCAGAGTGTGTGTGGGGGTGACAGTTGGGTGCCCCGGGCAGAGTGTGTGTGGGGGTGACAGTTGGGTGCCCCGGGCAGAGTGTGTGTGTGCGTGGGGGTGACAGTTGGGTGCCCCGGGCAGAGTGTGCGTGGGGGTGACAGTTGGGTGCCCCCCAGTTGGGTGACCCGGGCAGAGTGTGCGTGGGGGTGACAGTTGGGTGCAGTTGGGGTGCCCCGGGCAGAGTGTGCGTGTGTGGGGGTGACAGTTGGGTGCCCCGGGCAGAGTGTGCGTGGGGGTGACAGTTGGGTGCCCCGGGCAGAGTGTGCGTGTGGGGGGTGACAGTTGGGTGCCCCGGGCAGAGTGTGCGTGGGGGTGACAGTTGGGTGCCCCGGGCAGAGTGTGCGTGGGGGTGACAGTTGGGTGCCCGGGCAGAGTGTGCGTGGGGGTGACAGTTGGGTGCCCCGGGCAGAGCGTGTGGGGGTGACAGTTGAGTGACCCGGGCAGAGCGTGTGGGGGGGACAGTTGGGTGACCCGGCAGAGCGTGTGGGGGGGACAGTTGGGTGACCTGGGCAGAGTCTGTGTGGTGGACAGCTGGGTAAACTGGGCAGAGTGAGAGTGTGTGGAGGGGGGAAGGTGATTGCTGGGTATATTTGGGCAGAGTTGTGGGGGAGGAGGGACAGCTGGGTAACTCAGGCAGAGTGGGAGGGGGCAGTTCAGTGACCCAGGCAGAGTAGAGGGGGGTGCTGGGTGACCTAGGCAGAGTAAGGAAGGGGAGGCTGAGTGACCTAGGCAGAGTAAGGAAGGGGAGGCTGAGTGACTTGGGCAGAGTGAGTGGGAAAGGAAGACAGCTGGGCAAAGTGTATGTAAAGGGGGGTGACATCCGGGCAGAGTTGGGGGAGGGCATCTGGGTAACCTGGATAGTGTGTGTGTGTGGGGGAGGGGGACAGCTGGATAACCTGGGCAGAGTTGGGGGGGGGGGGGGGGTGACAGCTGTGTTACCCAGGCAGAGTGAGAGGGGGGATGGTTCAGTGACCCGGGCAGAGTAAGGGGGGGGGGGCTGGGTAACCTGGGCAGAGTAAGGAAGGCGGGTGCTGGGTGACTTGGGCAAAGCTGTGGATGGGATGGGGGGCGGTAACGGCCAGGTGACCCGGGCACCATAGACAGGATAAGAGCCTCAGGCAGAGTACAGGGGTGGTAAGTGGCCAGCAGTGTGATGCAGAGTATATATGACTGGGCAGGATGGGGATGAGAGGTTTGGCTCAGCTGTGAAGAGGTCTTCTCCTTCTTCCACTACAAATGACTTTCTCTGGCTGTCAATGAAAGTTGGGTAGTGGCTGCTGGTATATGTGGCCCTGTGAAGGGTGCTGAGTACTGGGTCGTATCATCCTTCTCACTGACCCCAGGCAGCTGTGCCCTGTGGAAGCTGAGGTGCCCCATCTCTGGGCTGTGCTCAGTCATTACATCTCACTGACACATGGACCTTCTCCCCCTCTGTGCTGGGGTAGTCATACCGCTGTGATTGGAATCCCCAATGAATAGAGGACTACCGATCAGCTACGCTCCCACACATGTGCCGTACTTCATTCTCAATGTGTAATCATTGTATATGTTTTCACTTCTTTCTGATTATTATTTTTAAATACATTCTGTGTTCCTAAGAAACATTAATTGGAAAAAAAAGGCTTGTCTGTGTCATAATCCTAAAGGATGAACAAGCAACGGATTAATGAGAATTGCATCAGCTGGGAACACAGTCATAATGCTTTGTTTTAGTACTTTGTAGTGAAAGTTGATGATCATCCAGATCTGTAGGTTGTAGCTGGATCAAGCAATGCAGTGATTTCTTGTCAGTTGCTTGTTTTTCTGCAGTGCACATCTACCATCTGTTCTTTACAATCGGGCTAAAGAGAACCTGTCACAATTTGCCATGAGCAAGAATTGCAGTGTTCAGTTTTAAATTATCCTAAATTTACAGGTTTGAAATTTGGCTTCTTATTTAAGGATTTACTTCACCCAGCTATAAAAAAAACACATACTTGCCAGGCTGGACTTCCATGAAGGCCTTCTGATCTTCTGCGCTGCCATCTCTCCTTTAGGTGCCAGCTGTCGCTTCTCACAGCTGCCCCTACAAGACGTGCAGAAGATCATGGACTGCAGGGAGACTGGTCCTGTAGCCTCCTGAGATGTATATCCCAGGTGGCTGCAGGCAGGTGGGCCGAGGGTACGTCATCCTACTACCTAAGAAAGGAATGATGAAGTGGCAGCAGGCATCACAAAAAAAACTTGCTTCCTGGGAAAAAAAAAACAGGCTGAGGGAAGTTGGAGGAAGAGAATTATGCCGAGTGTTCTTTTCACACGAAGGTCTCAAAACCTGAAGTGAGAGGACACCCGAAGTATGATAGTAGTAACGTGCTCTAAGCTTAAGAAACTATCAGCGCAGCAAGAAAATTGTTGCATAAAGTTGCAAATTGCTTCAAACAAGAGATGATGGATTATGTTAGGGTGACCACAGCTGATAAGAAGCTCTGCGCCGCCTGCTGCTGGGTTTCTTTGATATTCAAAATATGATTGATCATGCCAAAAGCTGTCTTTTATTTAAGGCTAGTGATCATATGAAGCCATTTATTATCACGTAGTTGTCGTTTTTGAAGTCCTAGTGATAACAGAAATCACCCAAATGGCCCTGATCATAAGTTTGCATACCCTGGAATGTTTGGCCTTGTACAGACAAAGTGACACGCACAGGATAAAATGGCAATTAAAGCTGAATTTCCTTTTTTAAATTGCAGTTTCTGTGTATTGTGTTTGCTAGCTGTCACATGGATGTACTACGCAGGATAGATGCTGAGCCATGGGAAGCAGAAAATAAATATATCCAAAGCCTTGAATATGCCAGTCAGTACTGTTCAATCACTTAATAAGAAGTGGAAATTTCAGGGACCTCTTGAAACCAAGTTAAGGTCAGGTAGTCCAAGAAAGTTTGCGGCCACAACTGAATGACTTGTTCAGGATACAAAGAAAAACCCACATGTAACCTCAGGAGAAATATAGGCTTCACTGGAAAAAGATGATATAATTGTTTCAAGGAGCACAATACAGTGACACAAACAAACAAGCCCAGTTACAATATGCCCATTGACACCTTGACATATCTCACAGCTTACAACTGTAATTTGCAGTGAGGAGACCAAAATAGAGCCTTATAGTCACAACCATTAGCACTATGTTTGGAGAGGGGTCAACAAGGCCTGTAGAGACAAGAATACCATCCCCACTGTGAAGCATAGTGGTGGCTCACTGATGTTTTGGCAGTGTGTGAGATC